GGACTTGTAGCTCTAAAAAGTCACAAAATATTTATTTTAAATATACAATTAAAAACAAAATTTGTTTTAATTTTGTTAACTACAAATTTAAAAATAGTATCTTTAAGGTACTTTAATCAAAGTCATTTTGTATCTAAAATTGAATAATTAAATAAAATAAATTGCAAACAGAACGCTTATTATATAGTGGATTGTTTAAAAACACACTTACACGCGAACACTGAATATGAAATGTGAATATTATATCGAAATACCCATCATATCGACACTATCGATAATATTTTGTACCACAGATATGAGCATCTTTATGTAAAAAAAAATTAATCTAATCGAAGATTCTAATTCCTAGGAAACACATGTGTCCATGAACAGATAATAACCACGTTATAGGATTAAATTTATCAGTTACCAACAATTTTATTTATATTTTAAATTACATAAAAATGCTAATGGAAAAAATATTAATACAATTTTTAGTTAATTCAAATATGTATGTATCAAAAAGTATAAAATAAAAAAAGTATGCCCTAAAAACAAAAAACACTCAAAGTATACAATAACATTAAGTAAAATAAAATTACTAAACTAGATTTATATAAGCATAAAACATATTTGCTTCTTACTCTGCTATTTTTGTGATAATCCAAAACAAATGTGCAAATTTCCCTAAATAAATAAGTAATGTATAATACGTGTATATATATATAGAATATAGATACCACAAGTATGTGTTCTTTGATACTTATAGAAGATTACATTAAGGGAAGCTGAACATATAGTTTTAAAATGACAAATGTCATATAAATTTTCTAATATTATAGACATAGAAAAAAAGGTCTATGGGAGTTCTAAACTATATTTAAGGTATTGTAGATTTATAGAAGGTATACATACATATTAAGTTTATAGTATTTAAAAAAGTTTGTAAAAAGTCCTTAAACAGTAAGGTGAAATGAATTAAACGGAAATCAAAGATATTATACAATATTAAAAATTCAAAATACAACATAATATACCTACTTAATATATAATATTATTAGCTGATCTTGCATGGCATTGACCATGACAAATTAAATGCCTATGAATTTACCTCTTCTTAAACTTCATTAAATGAAAGCTGCAAATATTTTTAAAGTAAAAGATATTTTATTATACATAGACTTCACACAGTTTATAATATACTAAATGTCAAAAACATATAAATGTCATGACCAACAAATAACGTTTTACATTTCTACCTCTTTTACCTCTTTTACCCCCTTAGGAATTGAATTTTGAAAAATCCTTTTTCAGAGGGTCTGTACATCATACAACGAAACTATTAACCAAGTTTCATAGTTTCATACTCAAATCTTCGACAGTTGTGGCTAGGTGATGATGAATCAGTGAGTTAAAGCATGTTATATCATATATTAAATAGATTATGTATTAACTATTAACTATTAAGTATTCTAAACACAGGTATCTTTCAAGTAGTAATTTAATAAACTTTTAAGTGACAATGTTATTGCAAAGATTATTTTAGACACCGATATTTTTGTTGCAGAGCGCAAACAACTACACCGTAGTATTACTTTACCTCCAACTATTATTATTTCTATCGCATTGTCCGTGTTGTAATTAACTTAACTCACTGTGATATACCTATTGGTTATAAAACGTGGTGTTTTTGTTTATAAACGGCAAAAAGTATATAAAACATCGTCCATCATGGTTTTAAACAGTTATCGATTACCGCATTTCCATAGGTATTAACTTTTATGAAAACGGAGTTCCGAATTGCGGACAAAAAGACAAAAACCACGTGAAATGCGGATGAAATCTAAAAAGGTAACTTACGAATTGCAGACACAAATATAAGATACTAATTGCGGATAAATTTCCAATCATTATTTTTGATATAACGATCGTGGACACTGTTTGATATTGACCATATTGAGACAGCTGTCAAAAAATATGTTTGATCAGTTTAAACCACAACCTTACTCATGCTTGCTTAATATTTGTCGTCTTTCTAATCGTCTATTTACTAAATAAAAATGTATAGTGAAAAACTTAATTTTCTTCTATTTCACGAACCACAAATGCTTATGAAAGTGTTCGTGCTAATCTTAATGGAATGTTTTATCGGAGTTACCCTATTATATACCAATTGATCGACGCCTTAAATGAAGTACAGATTGTTAGCTATACAAAAATATATTGCACCTACTGCTGTACGAAATTCAAAACGAACAAAATAATTGTCAAAAAGGAGGCATTTATCAGCAAACAAATGTTGCAATATTCAAGTGGTTAAATCAATAAAGTATCATTTATACAAGTTGTTTCAAAAAAAATTTTGCCTGAGTCTTGAAAAAAATGGTGAAGAGCAACTCACGTGATTTTTACTAACAAAAATTCTGTACGCATTTAGTATTATGACGACGAAACTCGTGTCCGCAATTGTTATGTTATAATATTGACTTGAATAATTTGTCCCTAACTAGTATGTGTCCAATAAAAATTGTGTCGGACATTATACAGAAATACTTGGGATACAGAGATTTGAGACGTTTCATGTGGTAGATCATTCGTCGAATAAAATAAAAATACCCATGAATTTATGTGTACCTGACCGTTAGTTTTTAACACAATGTAGGTACATTCTATTGTAATTTGTAGGTAACTTTAAACATGAATGAATCACGTATTCACATAAAATCAATAATATATACGATTATTAAAGGACATGATATATTCTTCCGTTCGATGACAATAACTGAATAACATTAAAAGAAGAAGTAGACATCGTCCGTCAGTACAGATACAAACAATATTATATATACAGCATGTAGTATTGTAGTGTGGTGTACACAGTACCACTGTCAATTCCACAGCAATAAGATGTATAAATAAATAAGTATACATGAAATATTTTAATTTTTGTAGGTTTACGCACAAAAAATAATACATTTTATCATGAGCGTCCCCAGAAATTTTTCTAGGGGGAGAGCAATATTAATTTAAAAAAAAAAAAATTTTTTATACATTTTATTTCTAAAACATTATTGTTTTTCGTCAATATTATATTAAATTATTACAATTATTAGGTAACAAATTTAAAATTCTAGAGATGAAAGTGCCCGTCTCCCCCCCCCCCCCCCCCATGGAAACGTCCAGGGAGTATTTTATTGATTTTATAAATTAATTTAATATTATAATTTGGTTATCATGGAATAACGAACATGACTAACAATTATAAATACAATATTACACATCATTATTATTTTATAACATTTATATTGCATAGTTTCTCTGCAGTATATTACATAGCTTAAGTATAATATACTAATGCGGTATACACTGTACAGTTATAGGCGTCTCTAGGAAGGATAGCTAGGAGCCACTGTCTCTAATATATGTCACATAATATTAATTTAGTTAGAGCTTATTGATGAAACAAAACTATATAAAGTAAGATTAACGATTAACTTATGATGGTTTTTAAATAATAATACTTAATAATTAATTATAATTTATGTGTTTTTTTCTAAACCAAAACATAAATAATACTTGAAGTTTTTCGACGAATGTAAACAATAATTTATGAATAATATTAAGGCTTAAAAAAAACCAGAACATTACTATTACCATCTTTATAATTTACAATTTGTAACATAATGTGTACAATAAGCAAACGTGATATAATGAAAAATAGTTAACACGGTGGTTATGAACGTATGGTTAAGATCGTGTTATCCAATAATTTTAAACAAATAAGTATGATTATTTTTATTTAAATAAAAAAAGCGAAGCCCTTATCTCATAAATTTTAGTACTGAACTCAACATATGCACAAGGGAGATTTTATAGATTTAACTCCCCTCCCAAAAAAAAAAAAAAAAAATCAGAAAAATTATTATGTATGTTATTATAGATTAAAAGTGATTTTTGTAAATGAACTTTTTGTTACATAAATATGAAAATGTACTACCTTAACCCTCCCCCACCATGCAAAAATATTCCTCTACCTACTTACACGCCGGGTCTGAAGTACTTTTTTTAGAAGAAATTAGAAAAAATTAAACATTAAAACTTATGGTATATACTATATACATATCAGTTAAAAAAATTATTATTTACTTATCGCAGTTATCGGTTGATAACAATTAATAACATTTTTCATAAAAGTACACTTATATTTAAAAACTTAATCCTATACATTTTTCACTTTATTCATTGAAATATTAAGTATGTAGTTTATGAACTTTATGATTTCTAATGAAACCGTCAAAATTCCATAACGATAACAAAAAATGTAACATAATTCATTGGTCATAGGTACAATAAAATTATACTTTTCAACTTATTTTCACAAAATTAATAAATATTTTATTAGTTATAATAATTATGAGAGTTTTAAGTACCTCTTTAACCTTGATGAAATGCTTTAAAACACAGGTACAGAAACTTAATATTAATAGTTAAGTAGTTGGATTTTAATTTAAAGTTATTTCTGTAAACTGTGACAACAGTTTGCAAATCAATACATAATCTCGCATATTTATCATTATAAATAGTGAGTATATTTTGTTTTAATTGCATTATTTTTATTTTACATACATAATTTGGAAGTGTGACTAATGCGCATAAGTAGATAGGTCATTTTTGTCTTACCGGGGAATTTTAAGAAGGCCCCCACATGAAAAAAAAACTAATCGCTTCGCTCTCAAATAAATGAAAATGAAATGAAATATTTATTGTATAGATACCTAATAAATGTATTATATTGAATTGTATAAAAATTATATAGGTACCTAAAAATTATAGGAATATATATATATATATATCATTAAATCTTTTATTATTGTTAATTTTTATCCAACAGCCTTTGCTATTTTTAAATATTAACTATTTTACATTTACATAAAAACCTTGATATATTATATTTTTTGAGTAGTATAACTTTAATACTAATTAGAATTTAATTTTTTCAGATAAGCAATTTTAATTTGAAAATGTACTTAATATTTTGCATATTTTGGTGTTACTTTTGTTTGAGTACATCAGCATATAATAACAGTATCATCAAACTTGTAGACAAAGAAATAAAAAATGTAACATTATTATCACATAAAATTCAGCATAACATCATCAAAAATAAATGGATTCAACAGGAACTAGATCATTTTAACGTTACTGATACTAGGACATGGAAACAGGTATTTTTTGTATTATAGGTTGATTAATTGTTTATTATGATGAATAATATATTATTAAGTGTTAATTATTTAGTAAGTCGATTATTAATAATAAAATCTAATTTTTTAGAGGTATTTCATAAATCTTAAATATTATAAAATGGATGGCCCAGTGTTTTTAATGGTAGGAGGGAGAGAAGAAATTTCACAAAATTGGATGGTCTCAAGAGCATGGATTGAATACGCTCAAATTTTTAATGCAGCATGTTTTTATTTGGAACATCGGTATTATGGAATAAGCCACCCTACTGAGTAAGTGCAATAATGAGAGATAAAATAATAATTAAATTTAGCAATTTTATTTTTAATTTATATTATTTTACGGTATATCGTATGTAAGTACATTTATAACTAATTACACTTATTCATTTATCAAAACTCACATAATATGGCTTAATAAAATAGATATTTAATTTACAACTAAAATTTTTTTCATAAAATCTTATTTAAAATTGTAGTATAATATTTAAAAATTTTAAGTCATTCGTTAAAAGCAACATTATCTAGGTCCCTTATATAGTGAGGTTACAGTAGTTTTTACATTAGATTGAAAAAACAATTTTTTGTTTCTCTTGTTAAGTCTTCTTTTACTCAGTTTATTCAACGTCAACGTGGCCTTCTCACAGATATTGTTTTACTGGGCTTATTAGTAAGTACCTGTCTATAATTAATCCAACCTCTGCACGCCCTACATGATCAGCCCACTTAAACATTTTTGCCTTAAAAAAACTTGCAAATTGAGTACATTATACAATATGTTCATCGTTGTATAGTCGTTGTACCATTGTACCTCGTTTATTTGTTTTACATTAACTATATTAGCACATTAAATTAATTACTCAAATTACTTCAAGATGAATTTCAAAGAAAAACTTAAAATATTTTTATTCATTCTTTGTCAATCAACTCAATCAAATGAATTAAGTACCTATTAATTACTTTTTGGCTATTACATTATTATATTATAATGATTAGCTACCTATTTATTGCAAGTTAGTGTAAACAAGAGTGTTATTTATTACTTAGTAAGTACCTATATTCTTATTTTTAAATTTAAAATAAGTATCTACATAGGTTTACAACAATAATGTATTTTATAGTTTATAAATATCGTTTTTATTAATTTTAACGTTAAATAATACATCCTAGAAAACAAGTTCATATACATAGAAGATGCTCAAGTTTTAAATAGACACACACGAAGGATTTTTGAGAATATCGGCTTCTATTTTTGTGTAAACTAAAACACTACGTTTACTTATCACGCAAAGTCGAATATAATATGTATTTACATTTTAAATTATTAAATTAATTTAAACTTAGTGTTAGAGTTATTAGTTATTTTTAATACTTATGGAGATTTTGAGTTAAAACCTACTAAGTACTAAACTATTTTATATGTATACAAATAAATGTGTAGTAAAACATTTATTTTATAAAATATAAAAGGCATTTATTTTTAATAGGAGTATTATTATTTTTATTTAATTTACCTAATTATGAGCTTATTTTTTGAGACCTAACTAAACCATTTTTTCTGAAAGTAAACAGGCAGATGTAGATGATTAAGTGGAAAGGTCTGTGTTGGTCAGATTTGTAATACAGATAATATAATTGATGAAACAAAATGCAACAAAGATGAATTTTCAACAATATATTATGCTCTGTTAAAAATATTTTGTACCATACCTGTTATTAGGTACTACATCTATTTTTTAATACTAGATCGACTTAAAACATTTTTAAGGAATCTAAAAAGAAACGTTAGGTTATTAAGACTTGCGTTGATGATGATTCATCGTAACATAACTACACTACATGCGAAAAAATTGTTAACATTTTGACTAAAAAAAAAAAAAAATAGAAAAATTAATTTTACATAATATTTAAATGTTTCCATATGGATTCTTCAAAAATATTTTAAATCTACCCAGTATTGAAAAATTTTAATTTATTTTATAATTTAATAATAAATATGTAAGTATTTATTAATTGAAATGTTTCTATCTGTATTATTTATGTCATAATTAAGCCACCCAGCCCCTAAAAAAATTTTAGTTGGTAGTAAATTATTAGCCTAAGTGAAAATAATTCCTAAATATTATTCCAGTGATGTATAAAGTAGATATATTTATAATTATGAACAGCTAGTATTAAACAGGTAAATATAACTAATATCCATGTAGGTATGTATACATTTTATTGTTATCTAAAAATGAATTTATTAATATTTAATTTATTTTTCTAGTTATTTTTAATTTCGTAAAAATTTAAAATTCAAACGCTATTATAGAAACAAATTATAAATATTTATTTTTGATATTTTCTATCTTTTTTAATAATAACTTATAAAGAACTTTGTAATACATTTTCAAGCTTTTAGACATAGAAAATTCATTTTATTGAAAATAACTCTAAAGACAAAAATGTATTATGTCTATAAATAGTTCAAAAAGAGACAATATATTTAATATATCTACAGCTTTTCGCTCACTAAAATACAAAAAAAATACAATTTGTTACAAAAACCACCTAACTTTAGCCATTAAAAATTAACTTCATTCGAAAACCAATAGATACATTATCATTCCGTTTAAAATCTAAAACAAAAATCAACTGTGAACCAACTGGTACTTGAACTATCAATGCATATAATTCCTGTACCAGCTATATACTATGCACAAAGTGGTCATTATAATCCTTAGGTTTGAAAATTAGATTCTAAAAATGTACATTTAAGCACATAAATCGTTATGATTGACAGTAAAATAATAATATTATATAATATTGTGTACATTTTCTAGATTGATAGATACGCAGTTGCAATCAAAAAAATATTATTAGTTTTTGGTACACAGCATTGTTTATCAAATACATATAATTGGCGAATTAGGTATTTTTCAGAGACATCTTGGAATAACTCAGCAGTAAAAAATGGGAGTTAGTATTAGATTTTTGTAATCAAATATATTTTTTAATCAATTATTAAAAATGTCGATGATTTTAAAAACTAATACAATTATCTATTACTTATAAGTTAGGTATGACCTAGCTCATAGACCAAGTTAGGTCTATGAGTTATCTACTTTTCATATTGCATAATTTAGAACTATAAATTTCATGTCCAACTATACCACAGATAAGATAAAATAATTAACTTACTAATAATATAATTATGTTTGTCTTTTAATAAATAACCGTTTAAAATGTATTTGTGAATTAATTTAGTTAAATTCGAACTTTTGAATTTTTGGTTTAAAAAATAAACTTATATAGTCTCTGAGATAAATTTAATTCCATTAATAACTAAAATATGTATAAACAACAATAAAATTATAAAATGAAAAATAATAAGAACTAATAGTATTATAATATATTACACACAATTTTTTTTTTACTATCTTTATTAAAACTTAAAATGACTTGGAGAGTTATACTATTTAAATAAATTCAATGAATTAAGTTACAAAAATTCACACAAATAAATTTACAAGTTAATAAAATATCTATACTTAGAAAATTAAACATAATGAAAAATTAGTTTTTCACATATTATTTACATAACCATAACTAAATGTACATAAGCCATGATTCAATAATTGTACTGTACGTACATCGTACATAACTAGTATATAAAAGTGATACAATATAACTTAATAAAATTAAAATATATATAGGTACCTACCTATTTATATACTTCAAACTAAAAAAGAAATAATGAAGATCTATATGTCTATACATAATATGTATTAAAATGTAGAATCATCCTATATAAAAATTAAAATATAATTGTGGACATCAGATAAATTAAACAAATGTAAGACTATCCAGTGTTTTTACCAATGTAGGATGGTTGGAAACCTGTGATTAAATTGGGAAAAAAATTACAAAGAAGTCACAAAAATATAAAAAAAAAAACTGTGGGTACCTGAATATTTTAATTTCTTATTGATTAAAATGTAACTAACAGGGGTATTAATATTTTTTTTAAAGAAGAGATATTTATCTCTTCAAAATTCAACTATTGGCGTCCTTATATTGTACATATTATACAGTTTTATCATTTTTTTATTATTCAAATATTATTTTCAAAGGAGATAATATGGATAATATGGCAATTTAAAAATTAAAATAAAATACAATAAAATATATTAATACGTATCTATTTTTATTAAAATAATATAAGTACCTATTTCATCTGCCAGTATGCTATAATAATAAATAAGAAAACTGTTTTATCATATTTCAGATCGTCAATGGTTATACCAAACATGTACAAAGTTTGGATTTTTTCAGACATCAAATCAGGATCATCATTTGTTTGGTAATAGTATATCATTGGAATTCTTTACTGATTTTTGCGTTGATGTTTTTGGAAAATCGTAAGTTAAAAAAAAAGTGTTTTAAAAAAACATATTTTTTTTATCAATATGGCGTATTAAATAAGTATTTTTAGAATGAAGTCCTTAATAAGTAAAATAGAAAATAACAAATACTTAGTGCGTATACTGCAACATAAATATATGACCCGATAAAGCAATAAGAACAGTCTCTTATTTTTTTGACATTTATGGTGGAAAGGGGGTTAAACTTGAGTGGGAACTCGGAAAGAATTATAAAAACTCAATCTCTTTCAGTTTTCTAAACAGTTGATAATTTTTTTTTCTTACAATACTTATATAGAATTATCTGATTATTATTTACATAAAAAATATATCATATCAGAAAAAAAATTATTAAATCAACAAAATAGTATTTATTTATTTTATTAGTTTAGGTATATATCCCAATAATAATATAATATGTTTTAGTATTTACATTATTGCATAAATATATATATATTAATATATTCAAAATCTAAACATACATTTAATAAACTTAATAATTAATATATACATCTTGAATTAAATAGAAGAAGAAAAGTGTCTACGTTGGCCAGCCTTATGCAGCGAGTTAGCGATTCATTATTTAGATAATTGTATAATATGGAGGAATAGTGAAAGGGGCAAAGTAAGGCACTCGGAAACTCTGAAGTTAACATTTTGAAAAAGAGAGAAACAATCAAGTAACATCACTAATAAAATTATGTTAGAAGTTAAAAGATTATGTCATAACTCATAAGCAAGATGACGATCAGTCAAAAAATTCGAGATTAAGTCATAAAAAACTAGGTTATATGATCATAAAGAGGGTAAAAAATATTTATTTTGTCCCTAGAAAACTTCGTTATTTATGTTGAATGCGTTCCATTTTCTGGAGAAACGTCATTGAGTGAGGATTTAATACAACAGAACCGTACTTAATGATGGACTTGATTAATTTGTACGGTATTGCACCTTCAAAGATTTAAAAAACTTAAACTCATCATTAATTATCTTTATAAAGCCTAATATCTTAATAGTATCTCAAATAATATGATCAACATTAACTTTAGATCATAATGAAGACACAACAATAAAGTTAAGATTACAATTATCATCATCAATATAATTGAGGATTATGCTAAATATTAACTATAGAGATTTACAAAGAGAACAAGTAAAGAACATAGATTTACATTAAGAAATAATGCGATATTTTGACCCCACTTAATAACCTGTCAAAGTTCTCCAGTAAATGTACTCAATCATAATAGGTAACAATTTTGAGAAAAATTTTATTATTATTAATAAAACATAAATACTTTCAGTACCAAAGAACACTTGAGACACTGTGTACTCGTATGCATAGCACGAATAAGGTTGACAATAAATATCATCCTCGTGCGACACCAAATTCAGTTGTAAAAATATAAGTCTTGAAGTGCTTGACCCACTTATGAGTATATTTAACAAATAGGTACAAGAATTTCATAATTCACAATCAAATATCTTGGAAAAATCTATTGAAATTACTTTCATTAGTTTCATTTAAGGCATTATAAATGTATTTACAAAACGTAATATTACACGGTGTATAAGAGCGCTCGGATTAGAAACCGTGATGTTTATTATTCAAAATTAAATTTATAGAGTGCCAAATATTATCATAGACTAAATAATAAAATTGTTAGATAATTAAGAAAGAATAAAATATTGGTCGTCGATAGTAATTTTTCACATTTAAATTAATACTAATTTTATTCGAATATTGAAAATCTCTATTAGATTAACTTAAATTAGTTAATTCATTTTGATTTGATTCAAATTTTTAAAGTTTTAAAAAAAAAAATTTATTTGGGCATCTTCAGTTAAAAATTACAGCGCCCATACCTAAATGTGCACATATGCAGATGATTGTTGGTATTTAAGGATTCTTAATACCCTCAAATTTCAAATAAGGACTTCCAGTTTTTTAGTAGTTTTAATTCAAAGTTAAAAAAAATGTACAATTAGATAATTTAATCATCACATCAAAAATATTTTATACTTGACATTGTATTTTTTAGATTCAATTTGAATACATTACGTAAGGCAGTAAATAAAACAAATATCATGTACGGTGGTTCCAAACCAAGAGTTAGTAGAATTGTTTTTGTAAGAGGGTCTATCGATCCATGGAATCCATTAGGTCTGTCATTTTTCCCAATAAATTCATCTACAGTTTTTATTGAAGGTAATCTTTTTATTTTTATTAAGTACCTAATACATAATATGGCAAAATTTTTGTTTTATTAGGAACATCTCACTGTGCCGACATAGATCCTTCATATTCATCGGACCCTTCAGAATTATCGGTAGCCCGTACAAAAATCGTAATGAATTTAAGAAAATATTTGAGTGAAGAGGATTTTTTAATTGAGCCAATAGTATTGTAATAGGTGAGTTAAATTTAAAATTTAAATAAAGAAAAATTAGCACTTGAGATGATAACCACCTATTAAGTCCTTCATTTCAAAATCAAACTAATTTTCAGTAAGAAGCTCATTAAATAATCTGTCTTTGAATACCTTTAATACATCTATATTCACATTTCAATAAACTTAATCCTAAATTAATTATCATTATTTCATAAATGATGTCTCCTTTGAATATGTTAATCAAGTGTTAATCTAGGTGTTATCCGTTAGCTGATTTATTATTAAGTGCACATATAAATAAAATATGTATATAGGAAAAGTCTTCGTGTTTTTTTTTTCTTATTATTAAACGTACATACTGTAATTTTAATGGTTCTTTATATATACTCATCTTACGTCTCTTAAACAAATAAAAAATTAGCTTATCTTCTTAAAAATGCAGGCTAAATACAAAGATATGATTATGAAAGTTTTCCAATAACTTTAAATTTATAAGCTTCCTATCCAAAACTCTCCGAACTATAACTTAAGTATTCTTTTACGTTTCCAACCATTTCTCGCATAATGATCTTACCATCTCGCCCGTCCATGATGTAGCTATAACTTTTTACAGACGATTTACTTAAATGTTCAAAACCATAAAAATCCTTTAACCAAAGATCTTTTGTCACTAAATATATCAGACAATCCCAGAAAAAGATTAAAAAGGTAGTGGTGTTAGGATATTTTAACATAGTTAATGATGTCCAAGTTGTATTGTTTTGTAATATTATAAATCTATATAAATAACTAACATAGTTGCTTCATTGATAGGCTTCTTATATTCATCGTTCAAGCTATACCTCGTTTATTACTTTTACTTAATGTTCAGTTAGTACCAGATTGTAGATTATATTATAAAAAAAAAAAATTGACAGTTATTTCATTAATTTTATTGCATTATCTAATATAGGTACATATTTATAATATTACGACACATTTATCTACGTAACCAAAACCTCCGTAACGTTACTAAAAATTAACTGGTAGTCAAATCTCTTATTGCTTCTGTATGCCTATAGTTTAATTAGAAATACAAATATACGCTTTCAAAACTGATTATTTTTATTTTTCAAACTTGTTTTAATAATAAAAACCCAGTCAAAATATATATGATCATTTACGCGTTCTTTAGACAAATTACTCATAATTGATTCTATAATTATTATTAATTTTACTCTGAAGCATCATAATCATTGATATTGATATATCGAGCAACATCACCCCTATTTTAATGTCAAAGCTACTTTTTAAATCAGTGCAACATGATTTTACTTTTAACGTATTACTTTTTTCTTAGGTGATAATAGTAAAAAGTGCACAATCGTGTACATTCTATCGGCCCTGCATGATGCCACCACAGTCAAGCATAAAAAAAAAATATTATGCTATTATAAAAATCTGTAATGTATAATAATCAATACTTACGAATCGGAAAGGATCATATAAAGACCGAATCGCGCACAATATTACATTAATTAACAAATCTAAGTGTACCTTGTAGTCAAATCATTCAAAACATATAAAATCGTTGCGTTTAAAAAAGAAACGTCTTATAATAACTTATATAAGACATAAAAACTTCATTTTCTATTAAGGGCTATTATAGTGCTTTTTCGTTTATGTGAAACTGTGCAATGGTTTTTAAATTCAAAGGTTTCTCTACTTTAATTTTATTTTCTATTATTTGAATAACGTAAATGATTAATAAAATACCTAGTTGTTGAAAATAAACACTAATCACTATATAAAAAATATAATAATATAGATATTAGATTTGGCCTACTATTGTGAATAAATATTTAAAATTTGTAATAGATAAAAATATAAAAATATGTTACTTAATAATAGTAGTTGTTTTTTTTATCAAGAAAATATTATAATCTTTAAACTTCATACAATAAGTAAACTATTTAGACAATATAATACAACGCATGAATATCGTGCAAGAAGGAGTCCATTGACACCACTTCAAAAAACAAAAACAAATGAAATTACTAAAGTTAAACATCAAAAATCTCATGTTTTCCTAATACGTTAATCGAGCACTTGTCGGTTATCGACGATGAAAACCATAAAAAAAAAATATCTATTTAAATAATTATTACATGAATACATCTAACCTTACATTATAGTCGGGTAGGTAAAATGGAGGTTCTTTTGTACATATGTTACTATGATAGACTCGTCAGTAACAGCTGCAGAAGCATTCATCAACGACTACAATTCTTCCCATTTGGAATGTCAAATTATAAATCACAATATGTGAGTATATAAATAAATTAACTTTGTGCGCTGAGAAAGCCGCCCGCTTGGGATTCTGTTTTTCAAATGCAACACGCGTAATTCATTATTGTAAGATTTTTAAAAAGTGACACCGGCACAAATGGTCCGCTTCATTCACAAAAATATCCAGACATGTAGTCGCGTATACATATATAGTTATAGAATACATAAATATATATGGTCGCACGATCTCTCCGCCTAGACGACATTAGTTTTAACGGATCTATTTTTACAAAAATTTTTAGTAGGTACGGTAAACGTAAAAACGTATATCTATACGGAGTTAATATAATATGATACATAGAGTAGCGCTGAACAGCTAGTTTTGGTGCTGTAGCTCGATGCGACGTCTTCAACTAAATAAAAATAAAAATTTTAAACTACTTAATTTACTCTGTCGAAAATTACTAGATGAGAATTAACTGTAATTCATCCATCATCGTCAAAATGTTCTAATCCTTTTATTTACACACATTTCGGGATTTGTTTACACTGCGAATTGTAAGAAATCTGAAATGTACGTGCATACTATTTTAAAAATTGTTGATTTTTTTTTTTTAATGTCTACGGTCTGACATGTAAATAAATAATACCTACGGCTGTCACAGACCACACTAAGGATTACTAATCCCGTGTTGAATCTTTCCTGTCACTTGTCACCTATGACCGTTGGTACGTTTTTATAAAACCATCAATTTTTTTAAAACGTTTTATTATTAAGAGCAGGGTTGTTGCACTGTTTATTTCTTCTATCTTCTTTAGGTAATCATAACTCGGTAAATTTTCATTTAACAAAATCAATCATGTGTTGCTTACTTTAATATTAAAATGAATTGATCTACTATTGAAATTATCAAATTATATGTAATGAATATACCTATGTAGAGTATTAAAATTTAATAATTAACATTACATTTTAAACATCGTAAAAAAGCCAATGTATGAACATACTCATATTATATAAATATGTATAAGTTTTTTAATAGGTCAATTCCTTTTAATATCGAAGTTAACTACACACAAAAGATTCTAAACGTAAATTTGCAAACTCGATATACTTAACATAGATCAAAAATACAAAAGAGGTAGTAAAAATACAAAAAATATTCTTAATGAAGACAATGCAATACAACACTTGTACGCTTATGTAATGTAATATTGTCAATACATATTAATGTAAGCACAGTCACAAAAAAAAAGAACAACTAATAATTATGAATCATGTGAACTGACATAAGTCTATTTTCAGCTATTGGTTTTTGAATAACATTAAAAAAACAAAACCGATTTGGTCAAAAACTAGTATTTACATAAAAATGTCCCTACATTTTTTTTCTAACTTTAATTACTTATAAAAAAAAATATCAAAGATTAATAGCTTCAATATTTTTTTAATTGTTAAATTGAGCAACTTTTTAGAAAATGTTGCACTACATTTTTAAGCATTTTTATCCAGCGATAAACTTTTTTATCTGCATGTATTGAAAAATAAATTTAAAAAAATGAAAATTTTAAATGTCTATAAATAACTAAAAAAGGGTTAAAGTATTTTTTAAATTAAACCATGTATAGAAAATAATAATTTGAACATTTTGTAAACATCTGTTTATCATCATTATTAAGGAAAGTACTGGAGACTGTTTACTTTTGACTTCCTCAAAATATTAATTAGATCTAAGTTGTTACTAGAAACCACCCCAAAATTAAGCCCCGGAGCATTTTTACTGAGTCAATAGATAATAACAGGCAGACAGAAAAAACACATTATTGTAAAATCAATACATTTATCACTTGACTCAGAATCTAAAATAAAATTTTTATAAAACTTTATATAGCTTTGTAATCTGTACCAATATAAAATATAAATATTTTATATTACTATGAAACTTGAACAAAAGTATAATTTACAGTGTTTATGCATTGAAATTACATTTAAATATCTCAGATCTTCGTAATAAATCATGTATTGTATTTATATATTATATAATATTATTAATTATAAAAAATTATATTATTATACTGTTTTTGTATTAATTTATACGTCATGAATGTATATCATGGAAATAGTGCATATGAACCCTCGAAAAACAACGATCGGAGTTAGTAATTGTATCTATTACTATAGTGTAGATTAGTGAGTAATAATGATATCAACGTTGCTCTTACGGAAGTTATAATTAGTAAGTTGTACGTCAGCCGTTGATTTATACATATTATAAAATTGTTAAGTCACCCCTCTAATAGCTAGTACACGTCGCACTAATAAACTCTTTTGTCTTTATAATTTGCGCATACAAGTTGTAGGAAACCGACCGGGACCATGCAACTCGTCCTGCCGTTAGCCCAAACAATACTATTTATAAACCCATCATGATCGTATAGTGTATACTTAACTCATCTATAACTGATATCCCGTCTCCAATCGCAGAATCGCAGAATCGCAACACATAGAACTTTAGAAAAATGAAACTAATTTAAAATAATGAATACGTGTTACATTTTAACAATTATTTAAAAAAAAATATAAGTACTCAATTTATGCGTAATTCTATAAAATAATGAGCTTTAAAACATAAACACACGATGTATGCACCATGCGTATTGATTACATCAAGGAGCCAGGAAATGATTAATCCTTGAATGGTCCATAGTCCGGCGGTGAGGTTGTGAATTTGTGATAGGCAACAATAATA